TACCTCGGTTGTAACGAGTGGTTATTTCAGTCAAAGTTGCTCTTCTATCAGGTAAGAATGATCGGCCCCTTCTCCTCTGACCTCTCGCATCAACAAGGCATTTTCACCCACAGGACTGCCGCATACTGGATGTTTTTCCCTTTGCACACCATTCTTTGTAAAGCCTAGAAATGGTTGTGCGTGAAAATCCCAGTAACTGAGCAGATTGTGAAATACTCAGACCGGCCCGTCTGGCACCAATAACCGTGCCACGCTCAAAATCACCTTTCTTTCCCATTCTGACATTCAGTTTGGAGTTCAGGAGATTGTCCTGACCAGGACCACACCCCTAAATGCATTGAAGCAACAGCCATGTGATTGGTTGATTAGATAATTGCATTAATGAGAAATTGAACAGGTGTTCCTAATAATCCTTTAGTTGAGTGTATAATTCACCTTCCTAACTCCCACTCTAATTAATCATGGGAGAAAAAAATCTGGAAAAAAAAGCGGCACTCGTATCTAGAGCATTGTACAACAACTATGTAAAAATGAGGACATAAAAAGAAACAGTCTCAAAAACAAAGAACAAAAGTTTACAGTAATTGCTAGGCTGCAGACCAAATTGCTGTCTTTAGAAGTCACATAAGCGCCACTAGATGTCACGTTTTCTTTGTTTTATCCTCAACCTGTCGCACACAAGACTGCAATTTAAGGGGAGAGAGTTTTGTGTTTAAAATGTCCTCAAATCAGATACTATTAATAGTCAAATACAGTGGTACCTCAGTTCTCGAACTCATTGGTACTCGAATTTCTTAAAAGTTGAACCAACCAGTTCGAAAAAAAAATTACCTAGAGCTCAATCTGAATCTCAGAAGTCAAACCGTGAATGCCGACCTAAGATAAGTTGTACGCGCGGGGAAATGAATCACGCGGCACATCTCTCAGCGGAAACAAAGGGTAAATCTTCAGTCTCAGCCTTGCATTCGCTGTGATAGCATCGTGCATGTTTACACTAGCTGAATACATATATTTAGACCTTAAAAATACATGTAGACAATGATAGACAGTAACAGTAATTATTATATATTACAAATAAAGGTTTATTCATTATTTTAATATTATTAATAAACCATTAATTGTTTAATTATAATAATATTGTTGTGCCGAGCGGGGACAGAACGGAGACAAAGGCGCAGACGTCAGGGTATTAGGGAATATGGAGTTTAGATACAGGTAAGGCAGGCAAAACGCAGACGGACAATACAATGACCGGACTGGGAAAACAAACTGAAACACGGACGAAATACAGAGGACTAATGACAACAACCAGAAACAGCTGATTACACGGGGATTCCACACGGGGTTAATGAAGAGGCGTGGCACACGGAAGGAGCGGACGATCAGGGCAGGACACATTGTTTGGATACATTTATTTTCTTACTTTACGAATTACTGTTTTGATAAATGTTCTTAGATGTGTTTAGTACAGTATATGCTCTTGTTTTACCCGGTTCTTTTTATGTTTAAATGCTAAAAAAAACATATTTAGGTGTAATTTTTTTTGGCCGGGAACCAATTAATTGGTTTTCCATTATTTCTTATGGGGAAAATTCGATCGCAATTCGAACTTTTTAGGATTCGATCCGTTGTTCTGAACGGATTAAATTCGACTTCTGAGGTACCACTGTACTTTGAAATTTTTAAACTTATGTGTAATTACATAGGCTAGGTTTGATTTTATTTAGGTCTATTTTCATCATTTTTATTTAAGGCCAAAGAACTATAATTTGTACTTTTCGTATTCTTACTTTTTATATAATTTATTTCTAATAAACTGATTACCTGCAGCATTTAATTAATGCAGAAGTCTAAAAAGAGATGACATGTCCCAGCCTATGGTCAGAGTGTGAAGGACTGCACACGCGGCAGTGATGTCATTCCCTCTCTGTGGATGAGGGAGACGGAGCTCGTCCCAGCCTATGACCAGCGTGTGAAGGACTACACACGCAACAGTGATGCATATCTTCCTTACTTGTATCCAATGCTCTCCACACTTTGTGACCTTAGACATAGACTGACTGGTTATTTTTCATATGGCACCATCAGGTTTGTTAGGTCTAAGTAAAGAGTTTTCTGGAAGAACACTGAGATTTTGTTTAAGAAGGTAAGAACACCGTATCTTCATGGAGGGCCCCAGACGGATTGAGACACTGAAACAAAGTGTTGGTTTTGTTTTGGGACTTAAGTAACCTGAGTGTGAAACAGCTTTAGTTGCAGTTTAGATAAATTCCCACTTCTTTTGACCAAACAATCAGGATTTATGCTAAAATAATTTGGCTGAACTCATTATAATTGTCACGCTGGGGTTCAGGCGAGCCGGGAAGCAGGCAAGCAGAGCCATGAATAAGGATAAACAGGGTTTAATGGGAACAGCAGGTACGCACATCGAAACAATACAATGACGGATCTCCGGGATAGTGGGAGACACGGACTAATATACACAGGACAGGGTGGAAATGACTAGACATAGGTGGAAACAATCAAGCAGAAACAGGAGGTAACGAGGTGGGCGTGGCACACATCGGGAGCGGACGGAGCGGGGCGTGACAATAATGATGAGCAATTACCCTTACAAGTCCAAAAAAAGCAAGTGCATAGAAAATATGAAGACCGTAAACTGAAATCCTAAATCCAAAATAAAATCAAAGCCAAAAATCTAAAACAAAATCTAAACTGAACAAAAATGTCACAACCAAGTTCCCCAGCAAAACTCTGCCACCAAACACCCCTACTCTATCCTGATGGGCTTCTTCTTGCTTTAAAACCAGCCAATCCTGCCCTTGAGGCAGGCAGGGCTTCCTTTCAGTGGACAAATAAGAGGCAATCACCATGCAAGATTTGAAAAGATTGTCCAATTTTGGCCCTATGACCAAGGGTCACAACAATATTTGTTACAGGAGGCACAGGGTTAGGTGTGCTTAATAGCAGCACTGGTAAGTATTTCTAGACAAAATTTCATACTCCCAGATGAAACAGGGAATATGTAAGGGCAGCTGGAGACCATCACCCCTTGCCCAGGCTTGGCCATGTCCTCTACCTCCAAAACACACCTAACATATACCCACTTTCTCACTGTATTTTTGGATTGTGCCTCGATGGGGTTTTCACCCAGGCTCTGGACAGAGGAATCAAAGAAGGAATAGTTTGGCTGCAAAGTGAGATGGGATATGTGATACACACTGAAAATTACCTTTGAACAAAAGAACCTCATGCCAAGTGTTTGTGTGTGTGTGTATGTATACATACATACATACATACATACATACATACATACAGGCAGATAAATAAACTGTGTTTAAAACAGTATTATTTGGGCTCTTTTACTGAATTATAGGGAAACTTGCCAATATTGAGTCAACTATGAATTCCACAAAGTAACACAGAATAATAAGAAAGGAATTAGAGGTCTTCTGTTAAAAAAGTATTGTCCAAATGATTGGAAACACCAGTGAATCCACAATTTAATGGCTCTGAAAGAAGAAACAAAGTAAGCTATACATGCAAAGACGTCTTCAAACATGCTCTGGGCCAAAAAATTCCTCCCTGTCAATGTCAGTTATAATGAACCCTGCTGAAACATGAAACATGCTGTTTTTTCAACACATGATTTTGAATCAAGTGGTTTATTTTAATTGTACCATATGCTTGCCACATCATTGAATGAGACATGCCACATGCATGCAGAAGGTACCTGTATGTTTAATGGAAAAGGAAAAAAACGCAGATAGAATGAGTGGGCTACATGTATATGTGAAACAGAATTTTTATAAGGCACAAAATGTTTGTATATTGACCCACCCTGCAAATATACAAAAAGTATGATGCACAAGTCAAATCCTTTTGTCCCACACATTACAAGATAGCAGTACTGATGATACTCAAAGTTGTAATTATTCTTTAAGAATGCACAACATACCATAGCGTGCTATTCACATAATACCTTTATACTCATTTCAACTCGGCCTACAATAAACACAAGTAGACCATAGATATGCTCTGACATCTAGTTTGAACCAGCAACATCTCAGTGTGACAAAGGACAGTTTTCTTCTTTTTCTTTTTTGGGTGGGGGGTTACCCTGACTCACCATCAACACATACATTCCTAGATGACAATAAAAACACAGATGTCTGCATACATTTGTATCCATTTGTTTATTAATCAAAGTTTTAAGGCCACTCTGAACTGTTTAATTAATCAGTTGCCCTGCTAATTTGAAAACCTACACACGTCACAGAGTTCTGCAGTGGTCCAGTTCTAACCACAGAGAATATCCTATTTCACACTAGGGAAAGCAATAGTCACCACAAGAAGCTGCATCTTCATGCACAGTTATGCATAATGGAAAAGAGCAACCAAAATATTAGAGAATTCAAAAAAATCTTCAGTTCTCAAGGTTTGTGTTCCAAAATAACTGAGTTTACTCTGTACACATGGAGTAATGTCATCAGTGGACATCTCAGTTTTTAGCATTTTTCTGATGAGGTCACAGTGAGCGTGCGGCATATCCAAGGAAGCACAGGACATGAGGCAGGTGACAAACAAACCAGACACAGACAGACACGCTACTGGCAATTTAGAGACACCAATTCACCAAAGAGGAAACCAGAGTACCAGATAAAAATGTGTGCAAATGCAGGGACAACATGCAAAACCCTACACAGACCCAGAAGTCAAGCCCACCACTCTGGAGATGTGAGGTCACCACATCGCTGCTTATATAGATTCTCCACATCCACACTCATGTCGACATGTTTGCAATCAGCTGTGTCATGATTATCTTTGGCTTCATTAAGAGGAACCTCGAATACCTCGTAGGATATGGAAGATGGCCTTCACAATGCCTGCTGCCTGCCTAAAGCTCCTGTCCCTGAGGCTCACATTTCCCTCTGACTGGAACTTAATGCTACCAATAGGGTTTCGGTTTTCATCCCACACGCACCCTCTGTGGAATTAAATAATTCAGCCTCCAACTAATAAAGGTGAGGACCCCTTCATAGAGGCAGCAGACAGAGGCGTGCGAATGACCGGAGAGGCTGGGTGCCGAAGCAGACAGAGTTACAGAGAGACTCGGCAAACAGGCACAGAATGGATTCAGAATGAGCAAAGCTCATACACATTACATTCTTCGTTCTTAGATGTCCAGTTTTGGACTCAGTCGGATAATCACAAGAAAATGTGACAATAGTAGTAACACATTCATACACACATTTAAGACACTGATGTGCATAGTTCTCAAATGCTAGCGGGCTCTTTACCTGGTCTGTTTAAGAAAGATAAACGAAAGAACATGTTATATGTGATGTGTGAAACTGGTGAAAATTAAAGTAAAATTTGTATAAGCTACTTTGATTGTGATTAACATTAATCTTAATTCCACAGTGGAATACAGGCCAGTGGAAAAATATGGAACTGGACCAAATTATAGTGTACTGAGAGCAATATGGAAATTGGTCTCTCTCTGTGGACTGAAGGACAGGCTTAGGACATGATCCCACTTCAAGACAGGAGAATCCAGAAGCTGTGTATATCATCTCATATTCCTTCATTCATTTCCACTGCATAACTAAGTTTAGAAAATATGTGGACTCCATGGCTGCCCTTGTAATGCAGAATGAGCATTGGAGGGGTGTACAGTGCCCATTTAGACATGCACATGGTCACAGAAATCATCATGCCGGTCGACAATGCCTGAGCCACGATTCAGATAAGGGATATTGCGATTTTGGAGAAATTAAAACAAATAGGAGAAAAATCCCTTTAAGACCCATCTGTCACTGAAATTGTGTTTATATTCTATGGGGGGGATACCTGTCTCCATCTCTCTCTAGGAGAGCGGATGGTGCTCAGTATCTGGCAGTGAGGTTTTAGCGTCCTTCTTCGGCATTCCGTTCGCAGGAGGAGCCATTTGGGTCTTTGGAGGAAGACTGAGGAGACCCTTTTCGGTGCCAATGTTGACAGTGATGTTGGTGTAGAGTGGCAGGTACTCTCGAGATAACACCTCATACTCCACAGTGTTCATGCCATCCTCTTTCCAGGTGTGCCTGGTCTTTGCCAGCATGTTGAACCTTAACAGGGTCACGCATGAACAGATGCAGTGGTTAAAATTTCAAGCACATTGTCATAGCAATTTTTTAATGCAAAGATCAGGGGTGGGCAATCTTATCCGCAAAGGGCCAGTGTGTATGCGGGTTTTCGCTGCAACTCCCTAATTAGGTCACTAATTAGAGGACTGATTAGCTGAAGAGTCCTCACACCTGGGTTTGAACAGTTTGAATAACAGGGGGCAGTGTGTGGCTCAGTGGGCTAAGCCGTGTGCCTGTAACCACAAGGTCACCGGTTCAAGCCCAGCCTCAGCACGTCTCCTTGAGCAAGACCCTCAATCCCCAGCTCCCTGGGCGCCACTACGGGTGGCTGCCCTTCGCGGACAGCTTGCTCTACAAAGTTGAGGGAGGCGTAAAAACAATTTCCCCACGGGGATCAATAAAGTATCAATTATAAATATATAATTATAATTAGCCTAAAGGTCATCCCAAAAACCTGCATACACACCGGCCCTTTGCGGATGAGATTGCCCACCCCAGGAAAAGATATTTTTAAAGCATCCATCTGCAGCAATGGAAAATTCCTTAAAGGCAACCTGTATTTGCAGCTCAACTACATTTCTGGTTGGCTCTCAGCTAGTCAAGGGTACTACTGAATGAGAAAATCTGCTTCAGCTTGCATGAAATACCTGTAGGCAAAAATGTGCCATACCTTCGTGGATTCACCTCGTTGCCCTTATCCAGCTTGTGTTTGATCATTTTGTAGCGGCCCACATTCAGAGATGGCCGAGTGATGAGCATCCCACCCAGGGACACTCTGTTTAATATGAGGTGGGAGACAGAGAGAGAGAAAGAGTGGGGGTCAGACCATTATTTACTGCTTCATGAGTCCTTACATACTTCATGAGTGCATGTAAGGAATTCCAGTCATGACAGATTGAAGACAAATTGAAGTTTAATGGAAAATAAGCAATTAGCAGATATTCCTACCGGATCCCGATATCATCATCCTCACCCCCCCATCCCCAGTAGTTGTTAGGGAAACCATTCATCTTGAGGTATTGCAGAGGGGTCAGAGCAGACACTCCGCCAAAATACATCTTATACGGAAGCCTGAGAAGGGAGAAAGAGCAGGAAAGACAAATGGAGCAAGAGATACCTGTGCCAACAAAGAAAACAAACCTTTATGCTACTTTCTGGGACAGAATCACAAAGTAAATAACCAGTCTATAGATCCAGAATACGCAATGCTTGGAGTAGTGATGTGCAAACTAGTGCAAATCGGGAAAACAGAGTGGGGTGAGTCATTTGTGTCTGACAGCTAGTTTGTCGGGGATCATATTAATCAGTGCTAATCTGCTTCCTCATTTATGTGGCTGAAAGGAATTTATTAGTTAGTAGTAAAACAAAAATGCAGTGTGTCTGCTCCTGTAGCTCAACAAGTAGAGCTTTGCACTAACAAGGTAAAAGTAGTGGGCTCAAATTCCAGGGAGCGCACGTTAATTGTAATCCTTCCCTCTGCTACAAGTCGCTTTGGATAAAAGTGTCAGATATAAGTAAAATACAAACGAACAAATCTGTTTATATTACTTCAGTATTAAAATACAATTATGTTGGTGGGAGGGGTCTGAATGCTTTGGGGGCCACTGCATGTGTGATGCAATCACCCCCTGGGAACCCGCCACATCCCAGCAGGGGCTGATCTTCACCACACATGTGGACAGTAGCAACCGCTTCCTAATGGTCGGCATGGAAACCACCAATGAGGAATGCTAATTGGGAGCAGCTGGAAGCTTCTAACTGACTCAATGCTAATTATGTCACCCATGCTGGGGAGAAAGGACAGGGTAAAAAAAAACGCATTTGCTTTCTTTAGCACTGCTGAGAGACAACCTAGATGACTGGCCGGAATGGTCTACTACTTCCTGAGTGAACTGGTCTGTGCTTATTGGCAGCCTGGTTGGCCTCTGAGGATTAGGACACTTTGAAGGCAAAAAATGTGGTCTGTCTAGGTTTCTTGCCCCTTCAGCACCCCCAGCAGCCACTGCCAATACTGTGTCATCCCTTTTCAGGTCCATGGAGAGTTTACCACCTTCCAGAGACTTTTGGACATGAAGCTTTGCCCTCACTGAATATGCAGTGGCCTACCTTGATGCTGCCATTGTCTGCACTGAGAATATAACACTTTCATTGTCTTGGCAGGGCTCTGGATTCCAATCTCGCTGTGGGTGCCAACTAAAACTCTTGAGGTTCCTCATTGATTGGGGTATTCCTTCCTTCCATGTCTAAAGAAGCAGGTATTGGCTTTCCTGGGACTGGCAGGGTACCATGACTCCTTTGTCCCCGACTTCTCACTAGCCTATTTCCTCTCAGATCTCACTGGGAGGAACCAGCATGACCATGCCTGGTAAATTGAGGAAGATTGGCATGCCTGCCAGTGGTTAAGCGGCTCTCAATGCTGAGCTGGTCCCCTGCATGCCAGACTTTGGCCTGCCCCCTCTGGCTGTACACAGATGCTACAAAAACACAGATGCTACAAAAAAAAAAAAAAAAGAGTAATTTTCTCTGATGAATCCCCTTTCTGATTGTTTGAGGCATCCACAAAAAGATTGTCCGGAGAAAAAAAGGTGAGCGATACCATCAGTCCTGTGTCATGACAACAGTAAAGCATCCTGAGATTATGCATGTGTGGGGTTGCTTCTCAAGCCAATGGAGAAGACTCACTCACAATTTTGCGTAAGAACACAGCCATGAATAAAGAATGGTACCAAAACATCTTCCGAGAGCAACTTCTCCCAACCATCCAAGAACAGTTTGGTGATGAACAATGCCTTTTCCAGCATGATAGAGTACCATTCCATAAAGAAAAAGTGATAACTAAGTGTTTCGGGGAACAAAACATTGACATTTTGGGTCCATGACCAGGAAACTCTGCAGACCTTAATCTCATTGAGATCTTGTGGTCAATCCTCAAGAGGTGGGTGGACAAACAAAAACCCACCAATTCTGACAAACTCCAAGCATTGATTATGCAAGAATGGGTTGCTATCAGTCAGGATTTGGCCCAGGAGTAGATTGACAGCATGCCAGGGCGAATTGCAGAGGACTTGAAAAGAAGCGCCAACACAAATATAGCAAATATTGACTCTTTGCATGAACTTAATGTAATTTTCAATGAAAAGTGAATTAAACATCAAAGATGCATTGCTACAAGCAGAAATCTGCAAGAGCCACTTGAGATGTAGCAAAGTCCTCCCCTCTCTTGGGACTCCTTGGTGGCAAGATGATCTGAGGATCCTTGAGAACCAGCTACAGCGTCGTCAGCTGGAAGCCATCCTTCCTTGGTGTTTCGCCCCTTTTATTCCAGAACACTTCAGGATGGTGGGGCAACAGTCAGGGATGTCTCCCTGCTGCTGGTCTCAGGACTATGCATAGCAGGGGTGTCCTACTCCCTGAGCTAAGACTAAACCTGGCCGCATACCTTGTGGACCCTGACTGGGTGGAGCGAAATAGCTAATGTTACTTATTTGAAGGGTTCCACTTGTGGTCTGTCATCAGCCATAGCCATCTTGAGGTGGTCTCTGCTCCCCAATGGCCCTCTTTATTTGTTTGGGTTCCATGCCAATCTTCTGTGGGAAGTATTGTACTAATATTGTTGGGAAAGAAATAGAACTGCATTAGGGGTGCAACGATTATTCGACATTGTCGACAAAAATCGACAATAAAAATAGTCGCCAACGAATTTGATTGTCGATAATTGTCGCCAGACGTATTTTTAAACAGAGTGAGACGTTTTCCTTCCTTTATACTTGTGCAATACTACCACTTTCCAATAGACTGCACCAATACACCACACAGGTGAGATTCGCTCTTGCGCAATAGCATTCAGCAACAGGTAGAAGAATGGTGGCCAAAAATCAGGCATCGTCGCATATTAAACGCTCTAAAGTCTCAAAGGCTTTTAATGTCCGAAAACAAAGACGAGATCTACAAAAGGGTGAATAGCACGGACTTCTTGTTGTCTAGCGTATCTAATAATAAATAATAATAATAATAATAATAATAAATAATTATAACAACAACAATAATAATAGGGCATAATAATAGGCTAGTAGTAGTATATTTTACATTTTCAAAAAAGATCAGAATAGAACGTATTTTTGTTTGGAAGTCGGTGGTGTGTCATGAAGTGTCTCATTCGCTAAAAATTTAGCTAATAAAGGTCAGAAAACAGTGTAGAAAACCCATTGCTTAAATAAAGAAGCCAAAACTCTGAAGCTCAAGATTCAGGACAGTGGCTCCGATGTCGCAAGTGCTGCGAGAGCTTATGCTTCCTTAAAAATAAATAACAGCAGTTTAAGTCCGTTTTCTTGCTGTTAACAGAGGAATGGCAATGGGAAGCTGCTCTAAATTTCCCGTATTTTGGGTCAGGATCTTGGGATCTTTCAGCCTGCTTTAAAATGAGTTTTTATTTGTAAACATAGGCTATATAAATAGCTGATATGACAAGAAATTACCGTGCATTTTAACCCCTATACCGCAAATGAAGTATGAATTAGCATATACAGGTTAAAATGCATGATAATTTCTTGTCATATCAGCACAAATGCACATAAAATACGTATTTGCACTGTCACAGCAAAAGATTGCTGCACGTATCGCTTATAAAAGGTGAATGCGTACTTGCGTACCAGTTATATGCAGCCCTGATTATAACAAATATTGTATCAGAAATTCGGATCGGTGCCGATCCAGACCTATTTGACGGATCGGGTATCAGCCATGTGTGACCAATCCACAACCTATACTTACTTATTTAGTTTTTGGCAATCTCTAAAAAGAAACCTCCCATTTCGTGTTAAATCTATTTCCACAATCAATCGCACGACAGCTCTTTCCCATTTTACATGTGTTGTTTTGCGGCATTGATGTCAAACAATAACCTCATGCTAAATGTAAAAGCTGGTAGCTAAATAGGAGCCATTTTATAATTATGCAATTTATAATCCGATTAGTCGACTAATCGTTTTAATAGTCGATGACTAGTCGACTATCAAAATAGTCGTTAGTTGCAGCCCTAAACTGCATACCAACCCTCTCCAAGTACTTTGGGACATCCTGTCAAGATGTAGTTCAAGGTGCAAGACGATGCTTCACTCTGTTTGCAGGATGGATCTTCTTCTTTGCCCGAGATCTTAAGGTTGTTAGGAGTTCAGCCACCGCTCGCAGGAGAAAAGACAGCTTGCCCTGGTCGGTACCCCAAACTTCCTTCCAGGACATCGATCGCTCCAGTGCATTGTCCCACTGCATCCACTGATGACACTGGCAGGTGAAGCTTGGAAGTTTTGCTATACAGGTTTACTGAGCTGAAGGATGGGGGAACACCCAGGCATTGCTGCACAAACTTGCTACACAGTCTTTCCATTGCTTCCACTTGAGTCATGGGGAAGTCTTACAGCAAAATGGCCATTGCAATCTAGGTATGATGCTATACTGAAAGCATCACACTTTGACACTTATGAAATGCTTGTAATATACTTCAGTATACCATAGAAACATCTGACAAAAAGATTTACAAACACTGAAGGAGCAAATTTTGTAAAAACCAATACTTGTGTCATTCTCATAACTTTTGGCCATGACTGTATTTCTCCACTGGGAATTTCCCATACACCTGCAGGGGGCAATTACTGCCTGTGCCAGATGAGCTTTGCCTATCTGTTGGAGAAAGAGGTTCTGCACTGGCAATCTCAGCCATGGCTGCCATCACCTAAATTAGTTTCCCTTATTCCCTAAATACATTTCAGCCAGAGGAATTTGCCTGTACCCTCATCGCCCAAACCTCCTTGTCTAAAATGATTCTAAAGTCATTGATGTAGGGACCAGCTATGTACTTTGTCCACCATGGCAGGGAGTGACAATAGGAAGAGGAAGCTGGAAAGCAGCTTAACTCACTTGTAGCCAAACTTGTCCATTGCAATGGCAGCATGCTTGGGGTGGGCGTCACACGTGTAAGTGTTGCGGTCATCCTCAGGGATCAGGTCCACGTCGTGGAAGAACAGGCAATCCCAGTCCTCCTCCCTCATGGCCTCTCGAAAGCCCACGTTCATCAGCTTGGCCCTGTTGAAGGTGTAGTTCCCTGCCTTCAGGAAGAACATACCTAGTGGTTTTATCAATGTTTCTTTAAGCCCACCACAGCAATGAAAATCTTACACATACAGCATGGTGCCAGAGGAGCACAGAGTACTATTTTTACAGTGAATCAAATTCTGCAGGGCACTGACAGACAGACAGACAGAAAGATAAACAAACAGCTTTTAATACAGTCCGAAACACTATAGCCTAAAATGTCTATTATTTCTCAGCACAAAACTTTGTAGAAAATGCCAATGTTAACAATTATTCTGTGTTATTCAAGATAATATGTTTCAGAAAATAAACTCACAGGGCATGAAGAGAGAAAAAAATGTGGGCACCACAAGAGTCTGCTTAATAAGCTGAAAAAGTAAAAATGGTAGGTTATTAATAGCGTAGAAACTGCATTTGGAGTGGTGCTGTAACCGGAAGGCATGTACTGATGACGAGCGGCATCGTACCATGTTCAGCAATGAATCTTGGTACTACATTACCACAGATGATCATTTTGTACGCAAATGGTGGTGCCGAGGGGAGAGGATTAATCCTGTCAATGTTGTGAAGAGACACACTGGCATTACTCCAGGCATCATGGTGTAGGGTATGAATTTAGGTCATCTCTGGTAGTGATTGGGGGGACCCCAATGGCACAGCGCTACGTCAGTGACATTCTGTGTCTGCATTGTCTTACCCCTCCTGAGACAGCACCCTGGTACAGTCGTTCAACAACACAATGCCATTCACAATGGCATGTGTGTATGGACTGCCTGTGTCATGTAGACGCCAGGTCCCCCGATCTTTCCCCAGTTGAACGTGTGTGGGATCAGCTCGGACATCAACTCAGACCTAGTGCCAATCTGCAAGATCTCGAGGACCAGTTACAATATCTGTGGGCCAACTTGCCGCAGGAGAGGATACAACAGCTGTACGACTCCTTTTTGCATTGTATCACCATATGTATCAGCAGGGACCAGCAGTGTGCGCATACTGTCCATTTGATCTGATATTATAATCATTGTGACAGTCACATGACCTTTCACTATGTGCAGATTCATTTCATTCCACCACTCTGTCTGGGTGCTTAACTTTTTTTTTTGAGTGAATTATATTATAATATCCGTTATAAAACCTAAACCTAATATGTCCAAAGGTATACTCCCTTTACCAATTAAAACATTATTAGACATATTATAATAAATTATAAACAACCTTTTTACTTAATGACTTTGGATGCCCTAACACTGACAGAAGTTCCTGCTGTCCCTCAATGAATGCTTTAAACTCCAAGCATGATAATTTAAAGTTTAATCTAACTTGATGTTCTGCTTTAACCAAAAGTTGCAAGGAGTAGATTTTCGTGTTTGCTTAATACAAAACTGTGATGCTACTTTGTTGCCTTGTTTGAGCCTTACCCATTCAGAAAAGGTTTCCTATTTGGCCCACTCTGCATTGTACGTTGCAAATCACCTTTTCCTTGATGCTGGTTTTGTCATCCTCCCCGCCCGTCACTCCCCCCTTTTCATAAAACCGACAAAATGAAGTTATTTTTTAAATAATGTTACATCTGGCTATCAATTTTAATCAAGACACAATGGAATCATGGATATGGATGCGCGCGGCAAACCGACAGCATGTACAGTTGCTATATAACAAGGTAAGCTTCGTATTTATGCTACCAATCAAATAAAAGTATACACATTGCCAATCGTCACTGTGTTTTACCTATTTTTAACTGTTTACGGACACATAATTGCATGTATAAAAACCAGGAAGAAAAAAGAATAAAGGTAGAAAGAAACCAAGTGAGGTTTTATTTGAAACTAGAAAATTCTAAATTACATGTACATTTTCATAAAAAACTGGGACAATTCGTGTCCCATTAAAGAATATTAATTTTCCAAGACATTTGCTCAAAAAAAGAGGACGATCTCAGGAAAACCGGTACAGGTGGCAAACCTAAGTGGGGCCCAGGGTGAACTCTATGGGATTATCAGTGGGCTTCAGAAAACTCACCCTTACGGCTTCTTCATTGTTTCTCAGGACAATCATGAATCATTAAAGTCAGTTTCGCCCAGGTTTCACCAGAACACTAACTCTGCCACATGAAGGGAAAGCATGTTGTATATACAAACATCCACCGTGCACAAGGCAGCACCCCTCTCCTATCTTAGACAATCAGATCACATCTCTATCATCCTGGCTCTAGCCTACAGGCCCATGCAAAGACAGATCAGACCAGTCCTGCAGGTGGTGTGCACCTCAGAACCTCAGGATGCTGTATCTGCACTACAAGACTGCTTCAACTGCACAGACTGGGGCATCTTCAGGGAATCTGCCACCTATGGCGACTCAGTACACCTGCAGGATTACGCAGCCTATTCACTGGCTGTATCAAGAAACGCATCAAGGATGTAACAGTCTCCAAAATTATCATTACACACACAAACTGTAAACCCTAGTGTTGTGCACCCTGGTGAAGATCAGAGGTGCTGCCTACAGATCTGGAAACAGAGAGGCTTATACTACAGCCAGAGTAACGTTTTTCCTGGCCATCAAGAAAGAAAAGAGTGCCCATGCAGAAAGAAAATCAGTCACTTCATCGACTCAAAGGATACATAGCGTATGTGGCAGGGAATTCAATTAAGGTTGAACTCTCCATTCCTGTGTATAGACCTTCCAAATCTAATAAGGATTTTATCCAAGAATTCTCTGAATTTCTCTCTTTTATTGTGCCCAGTGCAGATAATTTAGCAATTCTTGGTGATTTTAATATTCATGCCTGTTGTCCTACATGTCTGTTAACCCTAGTTAAAGACTTCCTACATCTTGTTGACTCTTTATCTTACCCAGTCTGTCACAGGTCCTACACACAAGCAAAAATATACTGTTGATTTAAAGCAGCAAGAGTAAAATATTTCTCTGACAATCTCTCAAAACTCTCGCTGACCAAAAGTGGTTAACACTAATAACAATGTCTTAAATCCTAATGTTTGTTTTGGTCCAGATGCTTCTTTTAAATCATGTGAGACAGATTTAAACTTGCTTTGTTAACAAGATTGATTCTATAAGAGGTCATATTTTACCCGCTGCCTAAGAGTTTTTGGAATTACCCATATGATATTCTGTACTAGATACATTCGAACCTGCACCCCTTCCTCACCTCCTAGAGATAATTTCTAATATCAAACCCACTACTTGCCCATTGGATATTCTTCCCTCACAGCCACTCAAAAATATGGTAGCCACTGTTCGCCTCAGAAGGCCTCAGAGAGCTAAATGAGAGCAAGACGCATTTTTGATTCTGACCTAAAATTTGACAAACAGAAACGCTGTAGTGCAAGCTAGCTTCTACCTAATAAGAATCATAAAAAATGTAATGATTATTACAGCTGGAAACAGCGTTTTTTAATGGATTATCTACATAGGTGTACAGAGGCCCATTATCAGCAAGAATTAGTCCTGTGTTCCAGGAATGTTGTGTTTTTTAATTTTAAAAGGTTAATTGATCATTAGAAAACCCCTTTGCAATTATGCTAGCAGACATTAAAATTGTGCTGATTAAAGAAGCAATAAAACTGGCCTTGTTTGGAATAGTTGAGTATTTGGAGCATCATCAATTGTGGATTAGATTATAAGCTCAAAACGGTCAGAAACAAAGAACTGTCTTCTGAACCTCGTCAGTCTATTCCTGTTTTGAGGAATGAAGGCTATTCCATGCAAGAAATTGCCAGGAAACTGAATATCTTGTACAATGCTGTGTACTACTCCCTTCACAGAGCAGCACAAACTGACTCTAACAACAATAGAAAGAGGAGCACAACTGAGCAAGAGGATAAATATATTGGAGTATGTAGAGAAACTGACGCCTCATAGGTCCTCAAATGGCAGCTTCATTAAATAGTACACACAAAATAGCAGTCTCAATGTCAACAGTGAAGAGGCAACTCCAGGGTGATGGTCTTCTAGGCGGAATTGTAAAGAAAAAGTCGTATCTCAGAATGGCCAATTAATTAACATTAATGATATTGACATCAATACATATAGTAAACTGGTTAAATTTGCAGATGCCACCAAGGTGGGAGGTGTAGCAGATACTGAACTAGCAGCACAGAGGCTAAAACCAGATCTTGATTTAATTAGCGACTGGGCTGATACCTGGCACATAAAATTTAACGTAGATAAATTTAATAATCCATGCAGGGAGCAGAAATATAAAGTACAGATATTTTATGGGTTCCACTGAATATTAAAAACGTAAAAATAAATATTGAAATGTATTTATATAGCAGATATCATTACTTTATACATATGTGAAGAAGCAGAAACTTCAACGAACATGAAATCAAGAATAAACTACGTCTATTTATCCAACATGTTATATAATACATACTGTACAGTAGAGGTGTAACGATACGCGTATTCATATTGAACCGTTCGGTACGAGGCTTTCGGTTAGGTACGCATTACAAACAGAACGATTCAGAAAAATACTTTTATCCCTCTGGAGTCGACGGCATCGTCAGCGATGGTGAGTATCTTTCTTGTCTATTTCAGTTCATAACTCGCTGAAATCTTATTATAGAAACATGAAAAAACGCTGACTAAATCCGTAATCGGTCTTCTTTTCAAAACGTCCATTGTCGGAAGTATTAAAGTTTTTAAAATTAGGCTAAATCGGCAAGAAAGTAAACCATGCCACCTTACTTTGATTTTTTTATTTTAATTTTTTTTTAAATGTGTCCTGTCCGGCAGCTTTAGCAAGCAGAATAATGGTCTGAATGCACTGCTGCGTCAGACATATTTGCTTTGCCATGAGGGGCTCTATAGACTCTGTATAAGCCCTTCATGTTGGTCAATTTCTTTTTATTTGTATATTTATTGTATTTTATTTTTAACACATGTAAAATATTCCAGTTGCCGAGCTGTCCAGAAGGGAGTGATAGTGAAGAAAAGGGGTAGGGAGAGAGATTAAAAAGGAGGCGAGAGAGGAGAAAAAAAAAAAAAAAAA